ATTATATCAGAAACAAAAATGGAGTTCACTTCCTAGTTAACCATGGGAATTGGAGTCAGAGATTCAACTTTACGACAGTTCATTATTTCTATCTCCACAATATTTACGATTTAGAAATAAACTAATAAATTTACAATGTTCTATCTCAGGCGTTGAATCCAAACTGAGGGTTCATTACGATACATTATAAGAAATTAATGAGAAGCACATTCAATTACATTAGCCTACAGTGCAGATGGCCATGCACTAATAGAACACAAAATTAACAGATAACAGGGAGTACCTCAACAGGTTCAAGGTATCCTTTGGCCTCTCCCAGGCATTTCTGCAAGGGTGGAAGAAGTTCAAGGACACGAGAATTTGACAATCCATTCCAGGCAGCCAGGCGTATAGGAGCTTCAACACAATGGTGTAGATATACTGCAACTTGTCGACCATAGGTCAAATCACCAAAAGATAAAGCAGCATACTGCTCGACAAGAGTATCAATAAATGTAGTAACTTTCATGAATCTCTGATTGAAACATCAGAAATTCCACTATATATTTTTCTCCTGTCCCTGGTGTTAAACTGGTAGACGTATTTGAAATAGTTTCACGTCTTCCCTTAGTCCTTTTCTCGTCGAGAAGTTGTCCATATAGTTCTTGCAAAGACTCATAAACATCCCTAGTCTTCTCATCTTTAAGCACAGACATTCCAACGAGTAATATGATGGATAATGAATGTAGTTTCCAGATTACAGGAACACTCCGAACAGGTGAGACAACATCTGCAGACAAGAACGTGGACAAGGCTTCCAAACCTAAAAGGAAAAACATTGCAGCTCTAGAAACTTCAACTATATGACCAGGCTCCTGCAAAATATTTTGTATATCAGAGGCCTTTCCAAGCCCAGCTTGTTTGCTATCACATAAGGTTGATATTGGGCTAAGAAACCAGTGCAAGGGAAGCGGCAGCTTCTGGTGTGCCCATTTGATCATCAATGAAGTGCAGTCATGATCTGGACACATCTTTGATGTGTCCAGGTCCTCTGGTATGGTTTCCAGAGGAACACTACCCCTTGGTGTTTTATCAACACCCGAGGCTTTCAATTTTTTCTTATTAGACAACCATCTATTTCTGAAGTGAGAAGCTAATTTTTCACTGAAGAGCATATAATCATCTTCTTTATATTCCCACCCATATGATTTTATACTTCCCTTATCATGGATAAAACGCTGAATGAAAAGATCCAGGTACTTTAGCACAGGTACTTGAAGCATAACATCCAAGGCTTTCTCCACGATGACCTTGTCTCTTGGTCCAGCAATTAAACATAATCCTATAGCAGAAAGGATTATATCCCCGGTAAAGGTCCTCTCTTCATCTAAGGACAAAATTTCTATGACTGAGCAACCAAGCATCTGTTTGTGCCAATAAAACAGTTTTCGACCAAAATCTCAATTGACTTCACAAACTGCCATTCTGATGCGACTAACTTGGAGAAAATATCAAACACACTCTTCAATGGCCATAGTTTTTGGCTCCTCCTCCAAACCCAGGTCATTTCCACCCATTTCTGTTCCATTCTCGAGCTCAATACAGAAATGACACTCACCCAAGCCCATTGACAGAACCAGAGAATAAGACAATGAAAACAAAATTAATTCGAAATAAAAGGACGAACTAATGAAAACCCAAAGCTTTAAACAATCCGAAAATCAAGAAGACAATCAGAATGTAATCCAATTTTTTACGCGAAACTAATAAAATCAGATGGACAAAGAAGGAAAAAGAAAGATAATAAGAGAGAAAGAAGTAAAGCTAAGGAAATAAGTCAATTCAAACAAAGATTCCACCAGTATCCCCTTCGCAAGTATGTTCTCTTCATGTGATAAACTGCATACTTGAGAAGGATTATCGACCAATCTTTGTTAACTGGATCAAATTGTTAATGTATATAAAAACCTGGAAGAAGCCATGAAGGCAGCATAGAGAAGTAAATGATGTTTCGAATTCATTTTGCTTCCTTAAAGAACAGAGATGCTCAATAAAAGAACTACCTGCAGCCAGGCTAATTCCATATTGTGCACTGTCCACATCTGTAAAGCTCAAAAAACCATTTCTAATAATTTCAAGTCCAACCTTAGGAGCAAAATCTGGCAACCACGGAACGTGACCACCATCTTGTTGCATGTCCATGGCATCCTCAGGGATCACCTTCTCAAGCATTCGGGAAAGCATGTGCATGACAGCTGAGTACACCGACAATAAGGGAGAGGAAGATTTGTCATGGAGAATAGAATTTCCCATTATTCCATCCTGAGAATAAACCCATACAGACTTCAATGGTATCCATTTAACAGCTAAATCAACCATTGGTCCAACATGGATCCAAGACCAGGTTTCCACATTATCATCAGCTCTCTCAGGTATGCTATCACTTAGAATCTAGTGTGAATAAAAATTTGGAAGCGTTCTGGCCAAGGATTCTAACAAGGTATGACTCCTCAGAGATGGAAGTAAATTCACTTAAAACATTGTTCTCAACCAGTTTTTCAATTGTAGTAGGATGAATTAGCAATGCAATGCCTTAATAAAATTGTTTCAATGATTGAAAAGGTCTAATGAAGCTTGCGTCTTCGTGATGCTTTTAGATATCTAGGTCAATGTGATTTGTTCATCGGAATGCTCTTCAAATTTTATGGGATGTTGCTTTCTGATTTTCCGTGGAAAAATGTGATAAATTCTTCGATGTTATGTGTCATCAATATTGCTGAATGGCTCTTTTTGTGGTCTTTATGGTCTTTTGGAAGATTAGAAACTGAAGTTGTATGTTCAACTGGAATATTGATTAAATAAAAAATGAGGTAACAATAAGTCTATGAAATGGTATTTATCTCAAGTCTATTGATTAAATTCTCATGCATGTATTTATCTCAACTGGAATAGTGATAAATTCTCATGCACTAGAACGATGCCCGTCATCATTCTTCCAGTTGGGCCAATTTAATGTGCAATAACTAATTTCTTTTAATGACCATACCATAACGTAGTTGAAGGGTAATTTTTTTACTTGTGACTAGGCGCATCAATGAAAAATCAATACATGTCTTGTTTTTAATAATAAGGATGAGTTAACCAATATGGTTCCTTACATCATGAGATTATGAAATATTGATGTGAACTGCGAATGTGTTCTACCTGATTTTTCGGGTAAGGACATTACCAAAATTATGTTCTTATGAATTGTTATTCATCCAATCGGTTGATTTGCATATGATGAAACTAACTCGTGTTATGGTGTTATCACTGTTATGGATTTTGGATTTGCTCCTCGTTAGGAAATAATAGACTGATGCTCAGGTGGTATTGGAGCCTACAGCAATTTCATTTACCATGCATTTATGGAATGCTTATTCTTGACAATTTTTGCCTGATTGCCTTCTCTTTAAAAGACATTTCTTTTGACATCTCCATCTACCTCTTTACAATGTGAAGATGGTGCTTGGTAGATTACTTTAATCTCACATTAGACTGGAAACATAAGGTTTTTGGACATATATAAGTAGCGAGTGTTACACACCCAAATGACCTCAATAGATCGTTTCTGTTGGGAGAGTAATGGTCTTGTGACACTTGCTGGATTGCTACTATTCCTTCCTTTTAAACATAGCTGGTCTATTATTAGTTATTACCATCACTGAAACTGTATGTGGATGTTTTAGCTCTGGAGTAGCATGCTCATACAATGTTTCTCTTCCTGCTTGTAAGAATAGATAGCATGCTTATATTATTTTTTTATATAATATTTTTTGTTTTTTTTATATATAAAAAAATTACAAGAATGCTCGATTATACAATTAAACCGACCCCTTATTTATTCTGCTACAAGCGGATAAATTACAGAGAGCAACTCAGAGGGGAAATTCTCTATAGATTATTAAGATTTAAGGCACTCTCTAGGTTAATAATAAGCCTCTGCTGGTCGGGAAAAGTTAATAGGAGTTACATATTCTGTTTCACCACCATAGAGGATAGAAACTGCCATTTTTGAAGCTGTCTGTGTGGTGTGCAACAGATCCCGGAACAAGTATTTACGGAGATTTGAGCCAAGTGTTGCCGCTAATAAAAAATGATGTGCCGTTTCCACAACATGCATTTTTTACATCAGCTAATTTTTTCCCTTGCCCCAACTTTAATTAGGTTCTGCATATTGGCTTGGCTTCAGTTCTAAATGGACAGAAATTATCTTGACTACTTGTATCAAGCATGACCTAGCTAATCGATTCGATGGATTGAGATGGAATCATATTATCAATTGGGCGAGTCGGGTTAGATTTTAAAAAGTTTCGAGCCACTTGGGTTCAAATCAGTTTTGAATTTGGTTTGTTTCAAGTTTGAGTTGATTTTGAATTCAATTTTTTGGGGTTTGAACCATCGGATTTATGGGGTCGAATCATTGTAGGTTCGGATCTCAGCCTTTGCTATTTCTTCCCCAACGCTGATGAAGAACAGAGACTTTGAGAGGAAAGCTTCTGTTTCTGATTGACCTTTGATTGCCAGGAGATCGTTGTAGACCATAGAGAATTGGTATACCTGCCCTCCCATCGGGACAACATTCGGTTTCTGGAAGTATGAAATCAACTCGGTTTGACAATAAACATTGAGAACAATGATCAACTAAAAAACTTGAGAAATTAGGAGACATTAGGAGGCCTCAACTAAAAGCCTTAGGTTCTCTTCCTTGGCCTTTTTCTGGAAAAATTATTATATGAACCCTCTTCACTACGACTCGGCAACTAAAAACCTCCTAGTTTCCTTAGTCAAATGTAAAGGTTTCTTGTTAACAATTTGATAAACAGATGCATATAAGAATCAGGCTGAAAACTCGAGAGTTACTGTTGATCTCTCTTAACATTAAAATGTTTGTATGGCTAGCATATTCCAAGTTTGAATTTTAACATTTACTACACTTTGTATTCCGGATTACAGTTTTTTGTTACCAAAATGTCTTAAAATAGGGAAGGGTTCAGAAGACTTATTTATAACAGAAATCGAACATTATAAGTTTGTTACAAAGAAAAAGAATGCTTAAAATTGATACATTTATCGACACTTCAGAATGGTTTCGGCTGTTAACTGTTTCAGAGAGGTCTTGTGATTTTCCCTTGGGCTCTGCCACAGAGCAAAGCATTCTTCGGAATGGGATATTCGTCCCTCACTGATCGCACGGGTGAATACACTCTCAAGTAAAATTGCTGCCCAAGATATTGCCGTGCCCAAAATTCACTCCTCACATTCCACATCCCAACATTATCAAGAGCCATGTAAATAGCAGTCCATGATCTAGGATATACCTGCAAACACCAACCGTTGTTCGAGTCGGGTTAATCTAAATTCGGTCAATTTGAATATATATATATAGAGAGAGAGAGAGAGAGGGGTTAGGATCCACTTAGTGTAAAACTTCTTTTTAGAATAGTTGGACGAGGGAAAATCAAAAATTAAAATTAACTCATTGTTTTTTTTTTCAATGAATATTTTCATATTTATTTACTATTAATCTCAGCCCTATGTAATTGAATTCTTCCCCATATATATAAAAGGTTTCGAACCTGTGTGGTGGATCGGGAAACTGCATCTCTTAGATTGTACTCTTTACGACTGTCCGGTGTCCATAATCCTCCATCCATGCTGCCATGGAAAAGTAATGCGAGTTTAGGGTGGAAAATGTTTGGATTTTTGCTTAAGAAGATAATATTTTTTTACTTTGGTTGTTATGTACGAGTTCTTACCCGACGACCCAAAAGGCATATCCATCAATATGCCAGTTTTGGACAATGCTTTCATGGTTCTCGAACACGATTTCCACAAAGGCTCGAAAATCAGCACCCATAACCGATGTGTCGAGGTACATTGGTTGACCGGTTGGGTTATCGGAGATGCTTCCGACTCGAAAAACGCCTCCGATCTTGAAGTAGTCGGCTAGTTTCAAAGGTGTATCAGGTGGAACAAAAGAAACACTGTTAACAGCGTATCTTTGCTTCCCATTGACTTGAGCAGCTGAGTTCACTAGCTTGATTGTTCTGGTTATGTTGATGAGACCGTAGTGATATGATCCCTGTGGATTCGGCCTTGGTCCACTTGCGGTTAGGTTGGTCCTGAAGTGCACCAAAATGAAATATTATGAGGATGAGATCATTTCGTTAGTCTATCTATTAGTTTGGACATTAAAATGTTAATATATTTCAAGATAATTATTTTATTCAAATTCGATAAGTTTTTATCTTATGAGATTAGATTTTTCAATTATTATAATATAATTGTCCTCAATTTGTTTAAGGATAAGTATTTTAATACATTATCAAAAATAAGTTTTATAATACCTTTTTCTCTATATATATTTTTCAAATAATCCTTATTTTGTCGAATAAAAATAAGAATTTTTTCATATATTTGTATTAGATCAAAATGGGGTATAACCTCTCTAAACTCAATTGAATGTTGGGTGGGGTGTAATACTCGAGTCTTTAAAACAAGCAAAAAATCGACTCAAACCAACCCATAATCATCCCTAAACAAATTTAACATGGAATACGTTTAAAACACAGATGGAAAGGTTGGATATGAAGTGTTAAATAAGAACTGATTTTTACCCAAAAATAATTGAAAAGTTGGATCAAACTTTTACCTAATGGATCGAGCCTGGTTAAGAGACCAATCAATTTGGGTCGTCGGTCCACCAGGAATCGGCCCTGAAACTGGCTTGTTGGAGTTACTATAATGAAGAGTTCCAGTGGTTGTAAGGATCTTGTCAGTAAATCGAGTCGAGGCCACGATGTAGAAATCCTGAGCAGCCTGGTCCATAGCAACAAGCACAGAATAAGATTGACCCACATGGACATCGAGTGATTCATAGATGGTCTGAACCGTGTGGGTTCCCTCCACTTCGACCAGCTTCATTTTGTGACCCTGAATTCGGAAATTCAGTGAATTCTGAAGCCCAACATTTGATATCCGAAACCTGTAAGTTTTGCCTGTGGGTAACATGGAACAATACCAAATTGTTAACATTTGTTCAAATGTGTTCATATTTGGTAAAAGAAAATGATTAAATTTTTTAACCCAAAGTGTACCTTGGTCAGCTGTGAAGAATGCGCCATTAGGTCCACGACCATTGATTAGAATACCATCAGGGAAAGGAAGTTTATGACCCCCATCTAGCCTAGCTTTCAATTTCTGCCAAAATTTAATAATATAAATATTCGAATTCGTAATCTCTATTATCGTACTTTTAAGTTTAAGTTGTTTATTTTACCCTATGATCGATCTTGAACCAATCTCCGATAAGAACAGTGAAATCGCTGGAGGGATCCAAGAAAGGAACTGGGATTCTCGGCCTACTGAGGATCCTGATGCCACCGAACCCACCAGCGGCCTTGTGGAAAGCAAGGGATGGGAAGTAGTAAAAGCTACCGATTTGGTCTTTCACTTGTAGAATGTACGTGAAGTTCTTGCCCGGCGGGATAGGGCAAGTCGTGCCGTACACTCCATCCTCGAACGAGTTTCTCCTTTGCTGCACCCCATTCCTGTTTTTATATAGATTTATAATTAGTTGAAATCTACACAATGCATGTAGGTATACTAATACTAAATACTTTTTATACTTACAATTTCTACATAAAATAACGATATATTTTCAGTCGATATCGTGATTAATGTTGTAACAATCTAAAGACTACGAGTTTAAAAGTATCGCTCACCATGAAAGAAGAAATGGCTCATCCAAGTTGTTGTACACATTGATGATGAGATTGTCATTAGTAACAGAATAGAGATCAGGCCCTGGAAATTGTCCATTGATCAGAATTCCCTGCAGAAAAGCACAAATGAAAACGTCTCTGTCAAATGATCAGCTAAAACCCAGAAATAGAAAACCAAATTACTACATCATAATAGACAGAGACGCACGTAAAATTAATTGCAAAAATAGAATATCAATGAAAAATATTAAGTTACAAACCTGCTGGCGAACCCCAAGTGGGAAAATATCTCCATAAGTAACATTCCAGGTGAAGAACCTGTAAGGATCCTCAGCCTGAACAACAACAACAGAAAGAAGAACAAAACCAACAGCAAATCTTTTCCATAAGCTGCTAGATGATCCTTTAAGCAACATTTTTTTTTCTGAAGAAACTGGATGTGATATAAGGGCACACAGTATGAAGATATATATAGAGGGTTTAAGAAGCTCCAGAAACAAAAAATGTTACAAGCTTTACAGAAGAGCAGGAGACACTGGTACGTGACTTAAAGGGGGGGAAAATAAAGAAATGAATGAAATAAACAAAAAGATGAAGGAAAATCCAACCTCCCCGCGAAAAAGGAAGAAGAAGAATTGAATGATTTGGTGTTGGTTGTTGAAGTGTTAATCATGTTTTTATAGTGTGCTTAAGTTTGTTGGGGGTTCAGTGAAATTACGCGGTGATTGAGCCACGAAAATCTTACAATTTATTTGGACTAAACTGTAATTAAACCCCTAAAGTGTCTGACACGTAAGGTGCATCTCAAATATATAGTCCTTGAAATATATAGTAATAATAATAATAACTTATCTCATAATAATAATAAATTAGCTTACCCTCATTCCCATATATAACGAGGGTAAGGGGAGGTATGATAGTAGGTTATCCTAACACTAAGTTGAGAACATATTTCGTAAGAGACCTCCGAATTATAAAATATCTTCTGTGGTACTCGATCCTACGACCCAAAATTAAAAACCTTGTGTTTGGATGTCATTTCATTCATAATAATAATAATAGAAAGTATGAAATCAAGACCGATAGGGAACCGCGTGGGGACTTTGATGCATGAGCTGAGCTGGGTTGATTTGATATGTTTTAATTACAGTTTAGTCCCTTTACCATGCTAAAAATTAAATATTTAATCCTTTCGTTTATTTTTAAGGTATAACTTACAACTATATGATTGAATTCAAAAACAAATAAATCTCGATCAAACACACATATGATAAATATTTGAATTTAGGACTTCAAAGTTTTTAAATCCTCTTTTTTGTCACTAAGCCAACGTCTAATCTACCACTAAAATTTAATTTAATATAATTTAATCATTATAATTTTATAATATTATTAATAAATCTAAATTGAGAACATAGTTAATTATTATTTTTAAAGTGATGGTGTGATTTTTTATTAAAATATTAACACTTTTTACATCGTTATCGATTGAAGATGTTATGAATTTGAGTTCACTAATCAAATTACAAAAAAAAAATTAATTAAACTATGTAAAATTAGAGTAAAAGGGTTAGATATTAAACTGAAACATAACAAAGGGAGTAAAAGTAGAATTAGAGAAATTAAAATTGCATGCCCGTGATTTCTGACGAGACACACGGCATTTCCATGTGGGAAAATTGCTTTACTGTGGACTCCGGACCTAACAAGTCCAGGTTGGGTTAGATCAAACGGCTGATATAAGTTGAGACCCATTTTAATGAAGGGTGGAGATGGATGATAATTAGTCTTTTCTGGACAATGGGAAATTGATCATTAATTTGTACGCGGAGAATGTAATGGGAACAAATGAGATGTTGTAGCCTGTAGGACGTTTCTTCCAGTTGTTTCGACAGAATTATGACAGTGAGTTTTCATATTTGTGAATGTCTTTGATCTGATTGCAAAGTCGAATGTCATGCTAATAAATCCATTGGCTTGTAACTTGTGCATATGGTAAAACTAAGATTACAATTTAGCGCATGGGTTCTGATTTCTCCATAATGTTATTGAGACGAGATGACACGAAAACGATAGCCATTGTACTAAAAAAAACATTTCCAAATTATTTGAAGTAGTTGTCAAACAATTAATTGAGGAAACGTTTTGATTAAATAAGCATTGTTTAATACTTGACGACAAGATTGAAAATGAACCTATATAGAACATGTTGATGTCATAGTTCTTTTCAGGCGAGTTTGCCAGTTGGACAATCCCTCAATTTCAGCTGCTGAGCTGTGTTGCTGGTTAGCACAAGTAATTGACCTCCGGCAAGCATCACTCAGCTTTCAAACCATTGCTACTTCAAAGTCATCGAAAGTTTAGTCTTGGAAGCAACCTCTTCTCTTATTCCATTGTAAAAGAAAAGAGTTGGAGCTTTGTAATCAAAATTTGGATCCCGAAATGAAGGAATTGATTCCTCAAAGTAGACTCCAAAAGAGGGAATGTGGTCCAAGTTTTGTGAAATTATAATTGCGTTCACTTTACAAAAAGAGGTAAACAAACCAATAGCAACAACCTCCACTTTACACTAAAGACTAAAGATGAAGTTGGACAAGTTACAGCTTGTTTTTGTTTTGTGTTGCAATGGAATCACTTGGGTGGGTTATATAGTCAGCTCTGTTTCACAGTAAGGGATGTTTTGTTTATTTCAGAATGATTAAGCGCTGAATGATTCAGAGATTCTGTATGAATTAGCTCTGAATGTGACATGCTGTTTGATAATGACTCTGAATCATTCAGAGTGTACTTCTGTGCTGAATCATTCAGCACTGTTTTGCTAAATCAGTCAGCATTGAATCATTCAGAGATACGAAACAAACACGTTGAATGTTGAACGGTTCAGCATTCAGCCCTAAATGGTTCCATTAAGAGACAAACAAACAACCTCTTAATGTCATGGAAACTGAACCAACCCGATTTGGGAAGGCATTGAAATAGCAGGCTGCTCTTGAGCGACTTGCCACGAAATTTCATGGCGTTGGTGATTGTGACGACGGAATACGGAACCCCAACCAACTTCTATTCCTCTAACAATGGGCTATCCTTATAAGTTTAATATCATTAATTTAAGCCCCAAGTTTTTTGCTTTAATGTGGTTGGGCTATGTGGGTACCTTGTAACAAAATGCGAGTAGTCAACACCCTTAATTATATTATATATAATCAATATAAAACTCACTAATCACATCATCTTTAAATTAATATCTGACTACAATATTTAAACTAGTATAAAGTATATAAACGGTTTCCCTTTAAAAAGTGTTATTTTGTTGAATCTTTTAATTATTAAAAGTTATAAAATAATCCTAATTATAGAATATTATTTTATTGAGTCACCCGACTATTAAAAGTTATAATATAATCACTTGATTATTCATATATTCCAAACTTATCATTTTTCGTTAAAAATTTGATAACCGTCTAACTTCGATGTTAATTTGTTAACTGAGAAATGATAAAATTTAGATAAACTACGCGTTTAGTGCCTAAATTATCATTTTTGATCCATTTTAGTACCTAAACTTTCAAAAAAAAATCAAAACTATGCCTAAGTTTAGTTTTTTTGTTTAATTTTCCTCAACATTAAAAACTTAATAGATGGACTTGACGACCAGCGTCTACAGTAGTCGATCATCGCGTTGTCGGCCGGTGAAGCTCGAACTTTTTATTCCACACCTTTTCGAACACTTAAATATGATTTTGGCCTCCATTTCATCGAGAAACACCTCTATATCCCAAATCGACAATGGACTTTTCAACTTCTTCATCCTCCAATCTCTATAGCCCACTGTCTGATGGGTCTAAAACTGTACCATGTTGGTCGATTCGTCATTCTCTCGTGATCTATCGTTCAGATTGGTCGTCCGTCCACCGAAATTATGCCATGTCAACACATCTGTAAAATTTTGAATGGCATGATACTAAAATGAAAAAAATAAGGGTTCTGTATGAATTTGAAAAAGTGAAAATTTAGATACTAAAACATACCAAAACTAATAATTTAAATACCAAATAAATAATTTATCTTAAAATTTATATAAAAAATACTGTCATCTGAGTAAAACTAAAATAGGAGTGAAAGAAAGTTTGATGATGAAATTTATAATTTACCTAAAAAAATAAGTAACGGTTCTTGGATTTGATTGATGAATGAAACGATGGTTAACTAATAACCGTTGACTTAATCTTGACGTGCGCCAACGTAATTACCCAAGTAAGCCCAGCCTGCCATTTCTTCTTTCTCATTGTGTCTCTGACTCTCTGTCCCATATTTATTCCAATAACACAAACTTGGAAACCATTAGACAGAAATGGAACATTTTCCGTGTCTCGTGACTGTCAAAACTTGAAGAAGAAAAAAAAGCTCCAAAGTCCCTTTAAGACACAAACAAACGCTACTCCCCCTTCTTCGACCTTCGTCCTTTGTCGTTCACTCTAAAGAAGAGAGAAAAGAACACCCGGAACTTTTAAAAATGCATGCAAAAACGGATTCAGAAGGGACGAGCGTCGATGCCTCATGGCCGCCGAGGTCGCCCCGGCGGCCGGTTTACTATGTCCAGAGTCCCTCGAACCACGATGTCGAGAAGATGTCGTATGGTTCGAGCCCCACGGCTTCACCAACGCACCATTATTACCATTGCTCCCCCATTCATCATTCCCGGGAATCGTCTACGTCTAGATTCTCGGCTTCTCTTAAGAACCCCGGGGGTCTTTCTGCTTGGAAGCATGTGCAGCTTGGTCGTGGCGACGGTGACGACAATGACGACGACGACGAAATGGACGGTCGTGATGGCAGTAAGGCTGATAAAGTCAGGCTTTATCTTTGCCTGGTTTTCTTGTTTTTCGTGCTGTTCACAGTGTTTTCTTTGATCTTGTGGGGTGCTAGCAGGAGTTACAAGCCTAAAATCCTCGTCAAGGTTAGAATTTTTTTTTGGAAAATTGATTCTTCTTTGAGTTGACTCAGTTGCCACCCGATTTGTTTTGGGCCATCGGTGCTTGCTTGTAGAGCTACTGAACTCCCCCCCCCCCGGGGGCTTTTTTTTTGACTCAGTGATTATTTGTTGTTCTACTTAAAATGTGTAAAGTAACTTTTAATCCTTTTTTTTTTAAATTTTTTGCAAAACATGGTTGGCATTCGCAATTCGGCACCTATAGCATTGAATGCTCTTGGGAAAACAAAAAGGATTTTTCTTTTCCATTGATTGATGAAATTTTAAACCCAGACTACATGAGTCAGCTCAGTGACTCAGTTAACTAGTTTTTCCCATGAAATATGGGGCATTTACAGATATCTAGGAGAGCTTAGGAATATGGAATGGGGCGCTGGTTTAATTGCTTTATCCCGTAATTTGAGCCTTATTTTGATAATTAATTTAATAAAATCATTACACCGCTAAACATTCCCAAAATTATATGTTTTGATCTTGTGAGCAGCACATAGTGTTTGAGAGCTTGCATTATCAGGCAGGAAATGATGAATCTGGGGTGCCAACAGATATGATTTCACTGAATTCAACGGTTCAGATTTCATACAGAAACCCAGCTACATTCTATGCCGTCCATGTCACATCTACCCCTTGGGAGCTTCACTATTTCCAGCTCAAAATTGCCTCTGGACAGGTAAAAAATAGAATCCATTCCCCCTTCTAATCCTTTGTATTAGCAGTTTAAAAATCCTTAAAATAAAGGGTCAAAAGTGATAACTTTTGGTTAATTAAACTAATGGGAAAGCAATGACTTTTGGGTTAGCAGCCTAGAGAAGTGGGAAATTGGAACAGAGGCGCTTTGAATACTGTTATTTACGTCTTTATTCCAGTGCCTTAAAAAGGCTGCAAACACTGCACCCAACATAATCTCAATTGGTCCCCACAGAGAAATCAAAGTGTCTTTTTTTCAAGTTCAGTTATGAATGTGGCCATTTGATTTGAAAAAAATGCCTTTCAAAAAGGACCTTTGCTGCTTAGCTGTCTTGCAGACATTGGATCACAATATGGCTTCACACATTCTTCCCTAGGATTGTAAGGAATGTTACATGGTTTTAAACTGGGATCCCTTATCCTGTCTATTTTCGTTTGATGTTGTTTTGTTTACTGTTGTCATTAATGTATGAAATAGATGAAGAAGTTTAGGCAATCGCGGAAGAGTCAGCGGAAACTGGTGACCATCGTCGGAGGGTCTCAAGTTCCACTGTATGGTGTGATACCGGCTCTTGTGAACTCTAGGGAGCATCTGAACACCGTTGCGGTGCCTCTTAACTTGACTTTTGTGATGAGGTCAAGGGCCTACATTTTGGGAAGATTAGTGAAGACGAAGTTCTACGGGCGAATCCAATGTTCCGTCACTCTCAGAGGTAACAAGATTGGGAAGCCTCATAATTTGACAAATTCATGTATTTATCAGTGACATGACCGAACTGAGTTAATCGCATTTTTTTTGCTTATCCGAAATACCAAGAATGCATATACTCCATGATGGTTAAAACTTATGCGGTAGACGGTGAAACCTTGAATATTTCGTTGTAGACATCGATGATTCTTGTCGAATTCGATTCCTTCTTTTTACGGTTGTTTAATGTATGACTTTTGAACTCGTTAACTTGATATGCATTTAGAAAAGCATTCAAATGCAATAGGGAGCTGATAAGAGCAGAATGCAGTGCGAGCACATTGACAACAAGCATGCATCCATGATACTGTTTATTGGCAACTTTTAACTTCAATTTTACTTTGCCTTGTCCTCTTTACTCTTCTGTCCATGGTTATTTCTTTATGCTCCTGTTGCTTCGATATCACCGGCGGCGGTGCTTTCATCTATGTGAATCTTCTGGTAACTCTCGACAGAGTTCAAGAGAAAACCTTGACAAATTTTATGGTAACAACTAACACGGTACCATTTGAGTATGAGCTACTTTTGTCTATTTGAATCTTTTAGTAGCTCTCCGCACAATTCAAGAGATAAAACTCTAACTAGAGGTTGTATCAAATTTGTTTGAGAATCCACCAATTGCACCATAAACAACATTTCACATGATTCTCTCATCATATTTATTATAAAATTATTAAATTAAACAAGCAATTTATTAGCTTCAAAATTTATTTAATCAAAATTATGTTTCTATAAAATCATAAAAATTAGGGTAAAATATGTATTTAGTTATCAAATTATTCTCACAGTTTTGTTCATGTCATCCAATTATTACTTTTCTTCAAAATCATACCTAAAGTTACCTTTTGGTCACTCACTGTTAAAAAATTAACGGTGATGATGACGTGTCACCATAAGGTAATACTACATCTTCAATGAAGAAAACCGAAAAAATATCACGTCAACAATTCTATTTTTTAATACAACAGGTGACTAAAATGGAACTAAAATGTAACTTTAGTATGATTTTAAAAAAGATAGTTAGGTGATCAAAACAAGACTATAAAAATAATTAAGTGACTAAATACGTAATTTACTCTAAAAGTATACACAAGTTCCAAAACCTTTCAATAAATTTTGTTCCTGCTAAATGAATCGAAAAAAGCAACTAGTATGGAATAATACAGGAGGAGGTTGTGGGTAACATTGTCCTAAAGCAGCTACAATCTCAATAATGCTCACCCATGATACAATTCTAGCATTGGGGTTTCTAAAAGGTCAGAAAAATAAACCATATTGGAGGAAATAATGTTGAAAATATTTACCGTAAAATAACACCGTTAGCATTAATTGGAAAAATAAATAATAATTTAAATGTTGAAATCGTAATCGTATCGTGGTAAAAACATTATTTTAGAAACGAATTCATCCCGTTGTGTGTAATCACTAAAGTAGGCGAATCGTCCCTCATGGTTAACACAGTCTCTCCAAGATTTTGTACATCCAAAATTAGAGTAGACTATCTGCGCTATTGCTCTTCTTGATGGAAAGTAGAGAACAACTAAGAACATTTTTTAGAGTGAATTGTGAGGAGGAATGAGTTGAGAAAATGAACAAAATTCTCTATTTATAGGCTCGAAATAGAGATAAAAGTGTCCAACAAAAAATAAATTAATATCTGATTTAATTATGGAATTAACACCCTTGTTATAATAGTTGAATTAATCTGATGAACCTGGGACTAAAACAACCCAGGTTCATTGCATCAATATCTAACAATTTGGAACTCCTGCTATTAAATCTTGTAACTCCTATAACTCTTAAAATATACAGTTTGTCTCTCCTTTAAATCAATCCAGATAAATCTTAACGTACTTATTTAATTTAGGAAAAATTATTGTTAAATTATTTAATTTTTAGAAATTAAAACAACTAATTAATCAGTTGTTATCTTTTGAATTATTTAAAATTTAAATAGTCATCAACAACTTATAAATATCAGAATAAAATCTTTGGAGAATATTCATGCGTCGAAGACATTTATTACTACGAGTACAAAGTCAAGACGGACAACTGCCATGCACAAGAGTTGTATTTATTCTCTATCACTCAATAAGGGTGCAGAGAATACAAGCCTTAAATATTTATTCCCAATTACATTTTCCATATTACGTGGGATTGAGTGTTACCAACAAATAAAATAGGTACAAATGGCCGGTGGAACTGCACCAAAAACGTAGCAATTCTTTGTCAAATCTTCCTCAATTCATAGGCAAGCTTGTTTCTTTTATTTATTTATCATCCGATTTTACTTTTTGACTGCTGCTTTTTCCCATTCATACAGCCAGGTTAATTCTTTTGTCTATTTCCTATGAACAAAAATAAAAATTACAGCAAGATGATTATGGTTATTGGAATTTGCAATTTTACCATTATCATTATTGTCTCTGTTTTTTCCCTCTTTTATACATGTCATTTTTTTGGAAGATTTTTACATGTCATTTAAGGTCTGAAGAAATTGGCATTCAAGCCATTGTAAGCTAAGTTCCATATAGCAGCAACTATTAACAAAATGCTGAGTAAAATGGCAAAGCAACCAAGTACCAAGTTTAGAATCCACGTTGCACCATTTGATCTGGGTTTTCTGATTGAAATCCACATGAAACATGGATATGCAAACGTTAAAGGCACAGCTGCCATTCCCCCAATCAAAGGTGCCAAGCTTCCCAAGAAGGGAAACGCCACCGCGATGAAGAAAGTGAGCCCTCCGAAGAAAAGACGTAAACCTACCCGAACCCACCCCGGACATCGATTTTTTCGACTTCTGGCGTAAACAAACTCCAAATTGTCGAAAGCGGGCATGGCATAGATTTGGTACGAGGTTATGCAACTTACTGTTAGCCATACGTAGATTAGGCCGATCACGAACTTCGAAGTGTCTTGAATGCGAAACTCTGAAAATGCTGTTAGAATCCCCACTCCACTTGCAGGTATCTGTAAGAAAAGTTAATTATGTTAATCAATTATGCATGTTCAATTGCAATACTGCATACGTGATGTGAATGAATGTTGTTTTACCTTGTTTCCATAAGCCCAAAATCCTGCAATAGCAAGTGGAAACAAACACATTGGTATTATAAGGTACGACACCATTACACTTCTCCACATAGACTTCCCAGATGAATGCTGTGAGTCGGATGACAATGTCCCCTGCATCAACAAATAAACACAATAATCAATGTCCAACACATATACGAAGATCGAGAAATCCAGTAATGATCGTTACCTGAATCTCTAGGATAAGATTGTGGCCCCTGAATGCAAGCATGATGATGCCAATGGCATTCAAGATGTTACTGAATCCATTCATACCGGTTTTCTCCGCTTCCGGTAAGCTGTAAGAAACACCATTAGCCCTGCCCTTGCTGATCGATAGAGCCCATATGGTGGTAATGTACCCAATGGAAGTTATGGCACCGGTTAGAGAGACTCTGGCTATTGAATTTAAATTGGGTAATTGACCAATGATGAGAGCTATGCAAGTGAATATGAGAAACCAATGTGTACCACTCAAGGACTTGGATCTACACATGGTGCCTTCTTCGCATATGATGTTGAAGAATTGTTTCATGGAGTTCCCTCCTGTGATGATAAGCATGACACAAGAGCCTCCCGATAGATACATTACCGGGAAGATCGCCAGCAACTTCCCGAGCTTCGGACCAAAGGCAATGATTGAGAGGCGGACGAATCTGCTGCAGCGGGTTCCGGGAACAGGCTCGTGAAGATTTACAAGAAGCCATGTGGTGTAGAGTTGCCATGTATATGCTATGGACAAACATATGATCCCCCATGCCCTATACAAATTAAAACAAAAAGAATTTGATCATTTTTTTTGTAGTAATTTGAAGAGTGTGGGATAAAAGTGATGGCAAAACTACTAGCAAAAACTCACCATCCAAGACTTAAAAAGGCAGCAGGAAGCAAAAGGGCCTGAAATCCAATTCCAGAACACAGCAGATGAAAAGTAGCAGAGAATGTGGTGCCGTTTCGGGACTCAGTAAGCGGCAGCCACGATTCGAGTTCCCGAAGATCGAGTCCCGGAACCGCTTGTCGAGCGACGGGGGTGTCCTTGATTGAGGTGGGGAGCTCTTGGATAGAATCATCGTCAATGGGAACTACTGTTTCTCCCATGATCCAAAACCAAAAACTAAAACCCCCTTTGATAATGGAAGCTAATGAGTAACGAAAACGATGGGGGAGATTGGGGTTTATATAGTTGACAAAAACTTGTGCACATGTGAAATGGACAGCGGGTCCTAAATATCTGCTGTTTCATTTCAAAGAATGAATTTCACGATGGTCTGGTCTTTTACACCATCAGCAGACTGCCTGTGAGCTACTTTAAACGTGTAATGGCATACGTCACCCTCATTACATCATCAATTTCCTTCCCCTTTTTCTTTTCTAAATAATAATAATAATAATTTTATAGGTTTCTACAAGATTAATCAATCATCCGCATTTCATTTAATCTTTCAAAAATAAAAACATGAATTGAATTGAATTTGAATAGTGATAAATTTAATTTTGATTTAAAATTTAATGTTCGATATCAGCTTTAATTTTGATTGAACATTAATTTTTGAATTTACACTTAATTTGAAATATAATCAAACTATTTAAGATACAAAGTTTAGATTATTAAGACTCATTTCCACTCATTAAAAGATATTGAATGTTTAAATATATTCGATTCTTGTTTCTGTGTATGTTACACCAAAGATCATACCAATATAACTAAATTTAATAAATAAAAAATATTATTTTTAATTCTATTACAATATTAAATTGAATTTATTAAGTGACATCAATGATAAAAATAAATGATATTTTTCTTAAAATATTCAGATTTAAGCATTCATATCAGCAATATGTATAAATAAATATGAATCTTTTTGTACCTGTGATATAATTATTATGAATAAATACTAAACTTATAATCTCATAAACTATTAAAAGAAATTATAATATTAAATTATTAACTCAAAAAAAAAAAACGGAAAATACGCTGGGCTGATACACGGTTATGGCTTTACGACGTTTGTTATTTTTATACCACTGACATAATTATGTATTAATATTTTTTTTCTAGATCAAGTATTTTATTTCCCCTAATTTTTAATTTAATGCATGGGACTCATGTCAATGGAAAATCTGTTCAAATATGATTTTCCCCCCACTTTGATTAGAAAAAATATATATTTTTCTTGGCATATTAATAATGCTGTCGTTGGCGAATCATACACAATATTACCAAATCTCGTTTATGATCCTGGAAATCTTTCATTCCAAGAGTCTATCACCACAAGAGACGAATTTTATTTCCCAAAATATTTATTCGCTTTAATTTTTTATATTCCGTCAGAAATATTTAAAATATCAGTTCAAAATAATTGTAATTGTTTTTTTTTCAACGTAAAATAAGTCAGAAACAATGCATTACCAACATCATTTTCCAAAGTCGTGAAAAACTCAAATATAAAGTATTAAAATAATACTGGTATTTATGAAAAACTTTGACACGTTGTTCACATATTAAGAATCTGATGACTAGAAAATTAAAAGTAGCACGAATTTTTGAAACATTAATGGAATATTTAAATAGTTTTTATTAACAGTTTGTCTACCGATATAAAAGACAAGTCGTTCAAGTAAGGTTGACGATTTAAATTCTAACATCGTGAATGAAACATAATAAATTAAGAGAATTGTTCTTATAATAAATCTTTATAATATCCGATTTAGATTAATCGATCTACAAATCAAATATCGATAATTATATAAAAATATTAACTATGTTTTATTTATAAAAAATGACAAGAAAAGGTTGGTAGTTAATTTGGTGACCAAGAATGTGTGAACTGTATGTTCAGATACAAATCGATATCTTCCTCAATACAAACCGTTTTGTTATTGTGGTAAAGAAATGGAAGACTTCTTAACAAGTAAATTAAAGGTAAAACTCTTCTATTAGTCCCTTTATTCTGTATAATTTACGGATACAATTTATATGTTCTGATTTGGTTTCCTATATTTTCAAAATTTAGAAACTTCAATTCTGAACTAAATGATAATTATTAAATCTATTTAGTCAAATTTTATTTTAGTCAATATACAATGTCTAAATAGTAGATTTAGTCCTTATTCTAAAATTTTGATCATTTTTAATTTAAATAATTCAAAACGTACCATTTTGTGTTATTATTGAAATTTCAAAACGTACATAGACTATAATGGATCAAATCAAAATGTTTAGACTATAATTTGTACATGGTATAGGGAGTAATGATATGTATAGTGAGTAATGATAAAATTGGACCTAAACTAAAAACGAAAAAAGGGGACAAATTCCATTAACGTGTGCATCAACCGAAGTATAACAAACAAAATAAAAGCATTGGAGAACGTAGTTTATGCTGATGAAAGGCAACAAAATGGGGAATCTTATTATGTCATTAACATATCCACTCAAAAGTTGATAGAATATTTATATAGTGTTATTATTATTTTTTGATATAGACATCGATTTTTAATTTATTAATTGATTAATCCAGATTGAGTACGGTAAAGGCAAGAGCGATCATTATAACCCAGTTTGCTCCATTCGCAAATGTTAGGATTCAAACATCTTACTTAACTCAAGGGATATAATGCCTCATCTCACTAGATCAACTGGTTGTTGATTTATATAATGTTACTATTATTTATATTAATCAATATTAAAAGATTAATGTGTTTTTTAAAAATAAATTAATTATACACTTATAAGTGTTCTAATCTTACTTATGAAAAAATTTATTTTTTTATTGATAGTATACATGATAATAATTCATACATATATATATTAACTGTTTTGCGCTCCAATAAAAAAAATTAGACCAAAATAATTTTATACGTGATAAAATTTAAGTAAAAATAAATTTAAATAAAATCTACGTAAATTATATACATAAAGGGAGACTTAAACGTTAACAATTAAAATAAAATTGAAGTATATTTGGATAGTTGGCCTAGCTGCTCATCTTTGTTCCCTTATATTCTTTTAGATTATAAGTTTTATACCTACTATAAGTACTTCTATTCCTTCCGCTAGAGTTTCTCCTCTCCCTCTCCTTTAGATAGAATTAGAATTAAATTTAGAGTTTGTCAAAAAGAATATGAAAATTTCTACAAAATACGTCGAGCGTGGATGAACATCGTTAACGATGAGCACCATTAAGTTAATTTATAAAACGTTAAATTATAAAGTATTAAATGTATAATTATAAATTAGTTAAAAAACTAAATGTAAATTAATTAAAATACAATATTTATAAAAACATTAATTTTTAGGGTAAATTATATCATTGACCACCTAACTATTTACCATTTTTACTTTAACCGCCGCTTTTTCAATTTTATCAAACGGGTCACCTAACTATTTACCCTTTTTATGTTAACCACCAATTTTTCAATTTTGTTAATCGGGTCACCTAACTATTTAAATCTTGTCAATCAAGCCACATGTCATTAAATATTAAAGGAGGAGACGACATGAGAGTTAATAAATTTTGTATAAATGCACATTTAGTCCTCATTACTTACACATTCTATTAATTTGATCCTAACTTTTAATTAATTCAATAAATTTAATTCTCAATCAGATGGTGACATGTGTCACTATGTGATTAGATTTGTTCATTAATATTTTTATTTAATTTAATAAATTTTCATCCAATCAAATGGTGTCACGTATCACCAATCGAATGAATAGAAATAAATTGAATCAATAACCGATGTTGGTAAGTTTTGAACTCAAGACTTGAGGAGAGGAAGCAAAATGCCCCAACCATTGTGTTGCACCATTCAAATAACAAACATATCACGACATAATATATATATAGTTAATGGCAATAAAAAAGAGAGGAGAAATGACGTAATAAGAACTCTAACATGGAATAATTGAATAATACAATAATATATATATGTATACACACAAATATTATAACTGATTAATATGTCAATGTATTTTATTTATATTTTAAATCATTTTAATGAAAAATAAAATAAAACTAATTTTAATATATTATAATTGAAATATAACGAAGAGTTTCAGTAACTTAGAATTTTTCTGATAGTTGAAGGCTTATCGTAGTAAGTATTTTAACCTATGCATTGACTTGTTTATATCCGAGTTAGAGTAAGAATTTTATATTTTATTAATTATTCATTAAATATTTGAAGAAAATTTTAGGGGAAACTTAATTTTATTGAATTAGTCTATTTTAATAGAGTGTTGTTAAAGAATATTAGAATCCGATCGATGTTATAATATTTTAAAATATAAAATATGGTACATTTCAGTTCAATAAAATTAGAACGATGAAGATAATTTATCAATTTAAAATATGTAAAATGATGCATTTCAATTCAATAAAATTAGAATAATGAAGACAATTTACTAATTTGAAATATGTAAATGATACATTTCAGTTATGACATATTGAATTCAATTTTATTTTAAATTTTACATTAAATGTGATTTAAAATATAAATAAAACATATTCATTTGTTAATCAATTATAATATTTGTTTATATATATTTTATATTTTTATACTATTCAATTATTTCATGTTTGAATCCTTATAAGGTCATTTATTATCATTAATTATATATATTATAAATTATATAGATTATGTTATGTATATTGTACAAATTTAGTGGTCCAGTTTAGTGGTTAAGGCATTTAGTTTTTCGGCTTGCGTCCCAGACTCCCAGGTTCAAATCCCACCAATTGCGGTTATTGATTTAATTTTTTTCATTTATTTAATTGGTGACACACGGCACAACTTGATTGGATGAAAAATTTATTAAATAAAAAATATTAAAAAATTCCAATCACACAGTGGCACAAGCCACCATCGAATTGAAGATTAAATTTATTGAATTAAATAAAAGTTAGGGTCAAATTAATAGAATGTGTAAGTAATGATGACTAAATGTATAATTATACAAATTTTATTAACGACCACATCATCTCCTCCGTTAATATTTATCGATAGGTGGCTTGATTAACAAGATTTAAATAGTTAGGGGACCCGATTTATAAAATTAAAAATCAATGGTTAAAGTAAAAGGGGTAAATAATTAG